TTTCTTAAGAAAGTAAATTAACAAAAAAAACTCTACCCGTCATCGGAAAACTCCAACGATCTGCCGTGCAAAGGCTCACACTGAAAGACCGTCCACAGTCCGGAGCAACCTGTGCAGGAAGGAAGAGAGTGGGATACAGGGCGCGCAGTCTTTGATGAAGGCCTGCGGCGTTAGGGCGGCCGCGCGCGCTAACGGGTGGGGGGGTGGGTGGAGGGGAGGGCCAAAATCGAACCCGCTACCGTTCGGATAATCTCAAATGCTCAAATACAGAATAGGTCTATTTTAAATTAATATTCTACAGTGAATAAACGATAGGCTGAACGCCGTGTAATAAGACTATGATCATAAGAATGCTGCTAATAAGTTGAAAAAAAAATGTTCAGGACGAGGAGTTGATATTTCATCTTGTGAAGTCAAGTCGAAGTTAACTTGTTTCAACGTGGAAATTGTAATCTGAATTATCTTTTGATTAAATATTTTTACGTTTTTTTTTTTAATTTAATTTTTTTTAGAAGACAGGGAGAATATAAGTAATTGTTTGAATACTTTTTCAGACGACACTTTTTAATAAGTTTGCACAGTTTTTGTGGGACTATTTTTTGTGATGACGTCCAGAGGCTAACTTTGTGACATCTAGCTGTCAGTGAGAGGTGGCCGTGTTGAAGAGAACGCTTGCAAGTTTCCTTTCAGCGAATTAATTTATTTTCGAAGTGCTTGTTGACAGTATGTAGGATTCTTTTGTGCCTTTGTCTTTTTATTCGTGTTAATGATACACAAAATTTGAAAATTGCTCTGCGGTGTCTTTAAGGCTGTGATTTTTTTAATTTTTTTCATGCAAAGTGGATATTGAATGGAGATGTAGAAAGCTTAAATGAGTGAGAATTCACAACAATCCTCAGTAAGTGAGAAATTCTAATATAATGAATAAACAGAAGAAAATATGAGATTTTTTCTCATATCTCATGAGTAAGGAGTATTTCAGTTTATAAACATTGTATTATGTGTAAATATCAGCCTAACATAAACTAGAAAAAAATGAACGAGAAAAAAGTGATTTACTTCTGGACCTCACTGTGGTTTTTATAGATCAGCAGGCAGCAGGTATTAATATTTTTTTGTGAAATGGTTTTTTTCGTATTTTGGATGCATATCATTATAATCGAAATCCCGAACAAACTATTACATTAAATTCAATTTCGAAAGGGATGTTTAAAATAACATTCGAATCTTTGCATTTTCTTAATTAGTTTCTTGGGCGTCATTTTGGAATAAGGGTTCTATTAAAAATAAACTGAAGAGCACCAATAATTAACTGAGGACAGCAAGTAAGTAAAAACGTATAATATTAAGTTTTCTCCAGTTTGAGGATGAGGGTTGTTCGCAATAACTAACATAACTTATTTAAGATTGACAAAATCGAACTTTAATTGTAAGAAGTAAATACTAGTATTCCATTCACAGCATTGCTCAGTAATTCGAATAAATTTTCGAAATATGTGATGTATTCGTGATGAGGGTTGTCGCAAATAAATACATAAATTATTTAAGATGAAAAATTAGACTTAAATTGTAATGAAGTAAAAATATAGTATAGTTGCAGGAAAATTTAGTATTCATTGCACAGCATTGCTCAGTAAGATTCGAATAAATTTTCGGAAATAATTGATGTTTGTATAAAGCAATAATTATTAGACAATGTATTGAGCACACTGTCTTGTTTATGGTACTTTACTGACTCAGTGTGTTTCGTTTGTTTTTCAAAAGGGTTTTCAAAAAAAGAACTATTTATTATTTATCAATACCACTTCTTTATTTGAAGCCTCAGCGCTTAGCTATTGCTTAAGAAGAAATTAAACATTGATTGATTTCAATATTTTTTGTTGTTTAACTTTGTTGCTGCTACAAGTTCGCATTTTGGCAATAACGGGAATGGCTTTACAATCTGCATCTCTTTTTTTATCAGGGCCAAAATCGAACCCCTACCGTTCGATAATCTCAAATGCTCAAAATACAGAATAGGTCTATTTTAAATTAATATTCTATGAATAAAACGATAGCTGAACGCCGTGTATTAAGACTATATCATAAAGAATGCTGCTAATAGTTAAAATGTCAGGACGAGGAGTGATATTTCATCTTGTGAACGTCAAGTCGAAGTTACTTGTTTCAACGTGAATTGTATCTGAATTATCTTCTTGATAAATATTTTTACGTTTTTTTATTTTTATTTAATTTTTTTAGAAGAAGGAGAAAATTAAGTAATTGTTTGAAATACTTTTTCAGACACACTTTTAATAAGTTGCACAGTTATTTGTGGACTATTTTTGTGATGACGTCACAGAGGCCTAACTTGTCGTGACATCTAGCTGTCAGTGAGAGGTGGCGTGTTGAAGAGAACGCTTGCAGTTTCCTTTCAGCGAATTAATTTATTTTCGAAGTGCTTGTTGACAGTATGTAGGATTCTTTTGTGCCTTTGTCTTTTTATTCGTGTTAATGATACACAAAATTTGAAATTGATCTGCGCGTGTCTTTTAAGGCTGATTTTTTTAATTTTTCATGAAAAGTGGATATTAGATGGAGATGTAGAAAATGCTAAATGAGTGAGAATTCAACAAACAATCCTCAGTAAAAGTGAGAAATTCTAAATATAAATGAAATAACAGAAGAAAATATGATTTTTCTCATATTCTCATGAGTAAGAGTATTCAGTTTATAAACATTGTATTATTGTGTGAAATATCAAGCCTAACATAAACTAGAAAACAAAATGAACGAGAAAAAAAGTGATTTACTTCTGGACCTCCACTGTGGTTTTTATCAGATCAGCAGGCAGCAGGTAATTATATTTTTCTGTGAAATGTTTTTCTTCGTATTTTGAGATGCATATCATTATAATCGAAATCCCCAAACCAAACTATTACATTAAATTCAATTTCGAAAGGGATGTTAAAATACATTCGAATCTTTGCATTTTCTTAATTAGTTTCTTGGGCGTCATTTTGGAATAAGGGTTCTATTAAAAATAAACTGAAGAGCACCAATAATTAACTGAGGACAGCAAGTAAGTAAAAACGTATAATATTAAGTTTTCTCCAGTTTGAGGATGAGGGTTGTTCGCAATAACTAACATAACTTATTTAAGATTGACAAAATCGAACTTTAATTGTAAGAAGTAAATACTAGTATTCCATTCACAGCATTGCTCAGTAATTCGAATAAATTTTCGAAATATGTGATGTATTCGTGATGAGGGTTGTCGCAAATAAATACATAAATTATTTAAGATGAAAAATTAGACTTAAATTGTAATGAAGTAAAAATATAGTATAGTTGCAGGAAAATTTAGTATTCATTGCACAGCATTGCTCAGTAAGATTCGAATAAATTTTCGGAAATAATTGATGTTTGTATAAAGCAATAATTATTAGACAATGTATTGAGCACACTGTCTTGTTTATGGTACTTTACTGACTCAGTGTGTTTCGTTTGTTTTTCAAAAGGGTTTTCAAAAAAAGAACTATTTATTATTTATCAATACCACCTTCTTTATTTGAAGCTCAGCCGCTTAGCCTATTGCTTAAGAAGAAATTAAACACTTGATTGA